GTGGGGGGGGGGGGGGTCTGAACGACACCCCCTCTGCTATTTCCTCACAGCAACGATTCCACCGGTGATTGATGGCACGGCAAAATTGTCTCGGCTGCGACCACCGCGGTTCGAGCCCTGGGCGAGTCTCTCTCTGTCCCCGATCCCTCGCTCCAGCCCGCGAGACCCACGGACGGAGTTGAATTGCCAATCGCTCCACGGTGGGGTGGAGTGCGCGTGGCTTGCCGAACGCCGACAAAACGCCCGCTGTTTGCGTTGCCGCTCTGCAGGAATGCGACAATGGTTGGGCCTTGCAAGTACTCGCCCCTACCATAGGAATGTGGAATGACCGCCACCTGCCTCGGCAGGCAGCGTGTGATGACGCTGCCAGTGAGCTGAGCCACGGCGACGCGGGGTGCGGGTGGACGGCTGGGCCCGCAGGCCCTGCACGCGAAGCGCCGTGGCGGGTGATGGGAAGCCGCTTCCAGTCCTTGAAATGATTTCGCACCGTACGAAGCCGACCGCGCTGATCGGTGGTGCGGCTGGTGGGGAGGGGGGCATCGAATCGCGGGCTTCCAGGGGAGCGCGAGCGACAGTCCACGATGCGCGACCATCGGTAGAGCGGTGCCGCAGAGCTTCACGGCACTGCACAGCTACGGAGCCGGCGAGCCGAGTTCGAGTCCCGGCCACGGCTCACATCAGTGGCGAGGGATACCTGAACCGGTCTTGGTTCCTCCCCGCCCCCTTCGTCAACCCGCAGTGACCAGCGTGGCGAAATATGGTCAAACAACCCCCACGACCGGCACGGCACGGAGTGGCCTTCATCCAGCAGCGGATTGACAAAGCACCGCACGTTCGTATAGTTATTAATCTCAGATGCACGCACGGTGCTTCTGTTCAGCTGCATCTCTTGTCGTCAAAAGTGATACGAGATGTATTGATCACATCTACGGAATGCTCACAGGCCCTTCGGATTACACCCGTTGGGTTGCACTCCTTCGTCGAGGAGGCCGCTCTTCTTCGCCTTCTTTTCTACAGTTACATGCTAACCCCTCACATTAACATCATGATAATCCCTCACAATAACATCATGCTAACCCCTCACATTAACATCATGATAACCCCTCACTTTAACATAGCCACTTCCGTGCCCTTGTTTAGGAGGCCGCTCTGCTATCTTACAGTTACATGCTAATTTCTCACATTAACATCACTAGCCCTGGCCACTTCTTTATGACCCTTGGGCTACACCCATTTCAAACCTTTTTAAACATTCTGCCTCAGCAGCAGACCATGCTTTCCCACCTGATGATGGACGCTTGTGTTGCGCCCGAAACGTCGTGATTTATTTTATTTTATACCTACGTGACTTTACCGAAAGAACCAAAGAGTATGGAATCCTGCAGTCACGAAAGCTTCAAATCAAGATTGAACCGCGGTATTCGTTGAAACAAACACAAAGCTGCACTCGTCTTCACCTCCTTGTGTCTCGCCAGCAGAGTGATGCTGTTTAACAAACGCTGCTGGACTGCCAGATGTTCTTAAGAGAACTCCCTCGTCTTTAACGCGGCTCGGCCTGGCACACAAAGCCAACTCGTACAGGATCTCATTCGGCGATGCCGTGCCACGTTGTTTGTAAGAAGGGACATAATGATTAGACTTCCGTCCGTTTTTGTTTTTTCACGTAAAATATTTTCATGTTCATCAGCCGATTGTCTTTCGGACTCTTGGTGTCCCGCAGCATTTACTAAAACGCGATCATTGACATTAGTTTATTGTATGAATGTTGAACCTCTTTCGCACCGTACGTAACCAACTGTGATAATCGGAGGTGCGGGGGGAAGGACAACAAACTATACACAAAAAGGAGTTCTGAAGAATGTTTTTGTTCAATTTAGATGATGATTTAAAAGTGCATAGCTTCCAGTGGCTTCCTAACATCGGAAGGAAGAGCGTTCCAGACGGCCGCAGAAGCGCATTTGAAAGCGCGCGATGCAGTGGCCGTCTTTGTTCGATGGTTAGCCGAAAACCGCTGCGAGGATGACCGGAGTTTGCGTGATGATGGTTAATTCTACTTGACGAGATCATCAATGTATTGTGGTTTATTTTTGACGTATGAAAACAGACATAATATATGTAAATAGATTACATCCATTGCTATGAGAAGTCTTTGCGAGAGAGTCCTGCTCGTGTTTTTTAAATGTTTCCTTTCAGCAGCAGCAGCAGCAGCTATAATTGAGAGTGAAGTTGTGGTGATGATTTTTGCAGCTGTCACAAGATGGCCCAGCGTTGACGAGGGGTTTGTAGGGAAACTTGAAAAGCCGCCACGGCACCAACAGCTTAGTGTCCTTTCTGTAGTGTCACATCTTCCGTGATGTAACGGCGGGGGGTTGGAATTGCATTACGTTTCTTATTATTATTCGTCTTCTCAGACTTATTTTTTTAAACCTTCTCAAATCCATACACGGATGCCTGCACCTGCATTCTCGCAGCCATACGTAAGCTGGGTTGCGCGTTCCCCACGCGTTCCCCACGCGTTCCCCGCTCGTTCCCCGCTCGTTCCCCGCGTGTTCCCGCGTGTTCCGCGCGCGTTCGCCGCAAGGTCCCCTCTGGTTTCCCGCACATTGCCTCCCCAACGATAACCGAGTAAATGTATAAAGACACCATCATCAGCAGCATCCATGGTCTATCCACTGCTGGGTGAAGGCCCCCTAGCCCTCACCACCTCACACGTGGTTCTCCGTTGTAACAATCCACCCAGCATCTGCACACGAGCCGCTGATTCCATTGCTCCATCTCCTCGGTGGTCGTCCTCTCTCACACACGCCGGTCCATCGCTTGGCTAACAACACCCCGTCACTGCTCTCGACCTTCATCCCTTGCGGTGCCACGTGCCGTGTCCAAGCCCATCCCATTCACTTTCCTTAACAGTTTGAATGATGCCGCAATCTCCGCTAAAGCACACCATGCTGGTAGTTGTAGTGATAACAGAACAGAGTGGTGCATAAACTTTGGAAGATCCCCTCCCCGCCTCCAGAGCGAATTATGAAAATTGTCACTGTCTCAGCCTTCAAGGCACATTGAGAGCGTCATATTTGCTCAATGAGCCATTCTCCTTGGTTGGCTTGTGTGTAATGGACCTCAATGTTAATTTGTAAAAGGCACTCAGGAAATGTAACGACGGTGATGATTTTTTTTCTACCAAAGCCTGTCCGGATTTGGTAAGCGCTGTGCTACGGAATTCGGCTCGCAAGGTTGCGACTTCGAGTTCGAATCCCACACGGGAGGGGGAGGGGGATGATGGCTGGGGGTGACTCCGTTCGGCGGTCTGTCTGCAGCCTGGGGTTTGCAGGGCCCCCTAGTTCGCCACCCACCGTGACATACATAATTCATGCTTACTAATCTTACTACTAATCTTACTACTAATCTTACTACTAATCTCCTCCGGTGAAATGCAAATTGAGTCGCGACTCGCTGTGTGCCTGATGATTGCTAAACACGTCTTGAGGGACGATTCAAATTAAGATGTGAATCTTGTGTGTGTCCCCGTGTCCCCGTGTGTCTGTGTGTGTGTCCGTGTGTACGTGTGTACGTGTGTGTGTCCGTGTGTGTCCGTGTGTACGTGCGTGTGTGTCCGTGTGTGTGCCCGTGTGTGCCCGTGTACGTGTGTGTGTACGTGTGTACGTGTGTGTGTACGTGTGTGTGTGCCCGTGTGTGTGTACGTGTGTCCGTGTGCACGTGTGTGTACGTGCGTGTGTACGTGTGTGTGTCCGTGTGCACGTGTGTGTACGTGCGTGTGTCCGTGCGTGACCCATAAGGGGAGCGGCAGTGCAGCAGTTACTGCACTGCGCTTGGAACCTGGCGACCCCAGTTCGATTCCCGCTCATGGCCAACACCAGTGACCATTATCTGAACCGGTCCTGGGCCTCGGCTAGGTCGACTCAGCTTCAAATGAGTACCTGGTGCGATGTGCAAACATCGCCACTGGAGAGACAAAGACGGCCGGCTTGATGTTGGCTACACCACCCCTTGTGTCCCATGCCGGCCTTAGCAAGAGGTGCTCGCTAACAGCCTGTGCAGGCTCTATGGGGGTGTTGGACAGGTTCTAACAAGCCGAAGAGGAAAACAAAGTGGAACGTTTGTTTGTGTGTTGTATGCATGTTGTATGTTTGTTGTATGTTTGTTGTATGCAAGTATGTTGAACTTCTTTCGCATCGTACGTAGCCAACCGCGCTTATCGGGAACGGGCGGGGAACGTGTGTCCCGGCGCTGGATCCGTGTTCCCTGTCCTCCAAACTACTGCTGACTTGACCTCGCCTTGACCTCGCCTTGACCTCGCTTTGACCTCGCCTTTACCTCGCCTTGACCTCGCTTTGACCTCGCCTTGACCTCGCCTTGACCTCGCCCTGGCCTCGCCTTGACCTCGCTTTGACCTCGCCTTGACCTCGCCATCACCTCGCCCTGACCTCGCCTTGACCTCGCTTTGACCTCGCCTTGACCTCGCCTTCACCTCGCCTTGACCTTGCCTTAGCCTTGCCCTGACTTCGATTTAACCTTGATTTGACCTCGCCTTGACCTCGCCTTGACCTCATCTTGACCTCGCCTTGGCCTCGCCTTGACCTCGCCCTGGCCTCGCCTTGACCTCGCTTTGACCTCGCCTTGACCTCGCCATCACCTCTCCCTGACCTCGCCTTGACCTCGCTTTGACCTCGCCTTGACCTCGCCTTGGCCTCGCCTTGACCTCGCCCTGGCCTCGCCTTGACCTCGCTTTGACCTCGCCTTGACCTCGCCATCACCTCGCCCTGACCTCGCCTTGACCTCGCTTTGACCTCGCCTTGACCTCGCCTTCACCTCGCCTTGACCTCGCCTTGGCCTCGCCCTGACCTCGCTTTGACCTCGCTTTGACCTCGCCTTGACCCCACATAGACCTCGCCTTGATCTCGCCTTGACCTCGATCTGACCTCGCTATGACCTCGCCTTGACCTCGCCGTCCGCCCCCTTGCCCCGTGCGACGCGTGCAGTGTGGCCGGGGCGGCTGTGGCCTTCCAGCTGGGTGGCGACCTCAGCGGCGCGTCGCTCGGCGCCGTGGCCAACTCTGCAGGTGAGTGGCGCGGCGGGGGGGCCCAGGTCGCCACAGGCGGCCACAGAGTCCACGGCGTCGCGCCTTCTCCGCACCCGCCACCCGCGTGCCCCGTGAGGGCAGAGATCGTGCGAGCGTGGCGACACGCACGCGCCTCTACCGGATTACACGACGCACTCCCGCGCTCCCGTCTTTACAATGCAGGGTTAAAGTTACAGTTTTATTATCTGGAGGATTCGGTAATTATTATGATGGCCGTATCTGGAGATTTGTTTCGCGCGTGTGTGCGCGAGTCGGGCTTGTCCAACGTTCGTTTGGCGACGTGGCGGTGTTGACCTCTCGCGGGAATCCCTCCCCTGCCGTCCGTGCTGTCGGCTCCCTGTTCGAGTCGAGGCTCTCCACCTTCCTCTCTCTGCCTGTGACCAACTTCCTTCTCTCTCTGTCTAAAGCAAATATTCTGACTGTATCTGTGCACCTGCGGTCGCGTTCAGCTGCTATTTAAGTCCACATTGTATTGCACAGTCCCGTACGCAGAGCCAATACTGTGACATCGCTGGAGTGCTATGAAGGAATTCGTTGTGATTTTTTTTTATTTTGTAAGGGAGGCCGAGTGTAACAGTCCCCAAGACCTACAGTGTGGGGAGGCCGTCATCCAGCAGTGGATTAACGAAGGTGCTGCGATTGTGACGGCGTTCTTCTTATCTAAGGCACTGCATTGATAGGAAGGAGGCAGTGAATGAATCATAGGCAGAGGATAAGAGGTAGGCCTGGAGCCTGGACGAGCAGGGGCAGGGAGCCGACAGCACGGACGGTGGAGGGAGTTCCATCCGGCAGCAGCAGCAGCGTAGAGCGAGCGACCTCCCACCGAGTCAATGTGACTGCGAGGCTTTAACAGAGCGCCCCGTTTGCTGTTGAGGGCAGCGGAGTGAGCTGAGAGGTCGGCAGGGGCAGCTCTGTGGATGGAATCACGTACTCAAGGTTCGTAATCTTCGGGAAAACAAACCATTGCAATTATAATTGTTTTTATCGAAGCGAACTGTGAGTGAGAAGAGTCTTCTGGGCAGGCGGCTCGCGCGAGCCAAGGGCACAAAACACCGACGGCGCGATGCCTGGGCGTGATGGGAAGCCGACGAGGGGTCGTCAGCCTCTCAGCGCGTCGTCTGATTGGCTCACGAGAGGGGCTCGGTCAGCAATGCCCGTCGCCTGATTGGTCCGTGGAGGCACGGGGCCTCGTGGCTCACCTTGATTTCGATCTCGGTTCTGGGGGAAGTTTGGCGCAGATTCGTTCGGTTCCGTGTCGGCGGCCTCCTTGCGCCGTGCGAGTTTGTTGTGTTTTTGTGTTTAACTGTCAAGGCGACCGTTCGTTCGTCCATACTTCCAGACGCGACCGTCCAGCCAGCAAAACTTTAAACAATTTATATAGTATGCTGACATGCCTAAAACACAGTGGCCAGCAACAAGCAGCACGACTGAAGGAGGACTAAACAAGAGATGATACGTGTCGTGAATCGCGCACGGTTTTCATGAGGAGCTGGGCAAGGAGACGTTGGGAGGGAATTACAAAGTGGACTGCTCCACAAAGTGGACTGCGAGGGAAGATGCAGAAAGAGAAGTGTTGTGACCTGCAGTGTGGTGAGTGAGTGGGTGAGTGAGTTGTTGTGACCTGCAGTGTGGTGAGTGAGTAGGGTGAGTTTGTTGTTGTGACCTGCAGTGTGGTGAGTGAGTGGGTGAGTGAGTGTGTTGTTGTGACCTGCAGTGTGGTGAGTGGGTGGTTGTTGTGACCTGCAGTGTGGTGAGTGAGTGGGTGAGTGAGTTGTTGTGACCTGCAGTGTGGTGAGTGAGTGGGTGAGTGAGTTGTTGTTGTGACCTGCAGTGTGGTGAGTGAGTAGGTGGTAGGGGTATACAGACAGGGGTAGGGCCTGGTAGGGGTACACCGACAGGGGTAGGGGCTGGTATAGGGGTTCACAGACAGGGGTAGGGGCTGTAGGGGTACACAGACAGGGGTAGGGCTGGTAGGGGTTCACAGACAGGGGTAGGGGCTGGTAGGGGTACACAGACAGGGTAGGGGCTGTAGGGGTACAGAACAACCACTGAACTCGAGCACGAAGCACGTGGCATTTTGTCGTGTACACGGCACTCACGTGAGGCTTCGTAAACAACTATTGAAGACGACAGCACCACCCACCCCCACCACCCCCGCCCCCCGTGTCGCCCCCCCCCCCCGCAGTGCTCGCTGCGCCCTCCGTGCGCGCAGCCCGCTCGCCGGCATCAGCGCAGCGCCGGTAACGAGGAGGAGGAGGCTCCTCTCGCCTCCTCGCTTTGCCGAATCGGTCCGCGGCATTTCAGTTTAGACTGACGGACAAAACGCCACAGTCACGCACGAGGCTCGCCTCCAATTACCATGTAATTACCCCTCGTGGCGGGCTAGCTTGGGGGGGGGGGGGGGCTACTGAAGGGTTTGGTGCGGGTTTCTAACCGGGACCGCGACGCGGAGATCGGAGAGCCCCGAGCCTCCTGTGCCCCTTGGTCGATCGATTCCGAGTGGGAACGCAATCAGCAGCCCCCTGCCTGGGACGCCTCTGATGCGATCGTTAGTTGGTGGTGGTGGCCGTGCCGATGCCTCGTTGTCGTGCGGGTTTTTGTCTCTCTCGCGTTTGTTCGGCAATCCCATCACACGAAGTGTGACTATGGCCAGGATGGGCAATGGTGAGCCGATACGCATCGGTTCGCTGCCTTGGAATATATTCTCACGATCGTGATACACGCAGCGAATCGAGCGTGCAAAAAAACGGTTATTTATGATCTATTCAAAATATATGGAATTGATATGCTGATGTAGGCGAATGACGCAAACTAATATATGCACAAATAATACGGAACATATTAAAGCAATGCAAATGAGACGGTAAAAAACAACCCAAGACAAATAATCGATTTTTGAATAGAATCACAAACCGGAACCCTGAAATTTGTTTTTATTGAATTGTGAGTTGGGCCAGATTGCCACGCACACGCCTTTGTGTTGTCGTGATTGTCCATGTCGCATGGCTGATGCTCGCCATGTTTAAACCCATAATAATAATCATCATCATGCCCTTTATTTATCCAAGAAAACTTTACTGATTCCCAAGAATGTCTTTCCGCAGGGACAGTTTCTGACAAATTTCCAGCAGTGCTCTCGGCGATGTAAAAGGTCGCGTTCCGACAGAGTAACAGCGCCGCTCGCTCCAAGCAGCTTCGCGTGGCATTCTTCTCCATTGGTGGTGGCCTTGAGCCAACAGTGGGAATTCCACATCCATATGGATAGGAAAGGGGACAGGTCCGTCCTCACGATGGCTACAATTGCATGGTCACTCTGTGCACCCTGGCAAACGAGGGGATTTTCCAGGGGTAGTATTTAAATTAATAAAGAACATAATTTTTTATTATGATGAGCCGTCTTCTATCCACTGCTGGATTAAGGACTCACAATCTCTCCAACACATTCAATCTTGGCTTTATTGAGCTTCATACATTGTTATTTTTGGCTGTACCCTTTGTGTTTGCTTGGTTGGGCTGTTCTGCGTCTTGTATTTTAGTATCGAATATACATTTGTTGGATATGAATTAAATCTTAAAGAGAACGGTTAGGCGCACCACTGACCTTGAGATGAAATGAGGAGGGGCGGATGGCCGGGCCTGTGAGCAGAGGGAAGGAGGCCTCTGTGTACGCCCTGCTGAGAGCCATTCACACCGAGGGAGACCTGGGTAACACGAGCTCTACAGCATAGCAAAATCAAAATTAAAGTAAATAAACCATTCTAGTCACAACTCAGATATATAAATACACAAATACACAAGAAATACGTTCAACACGTAGGCTTTCAAGACCAATATCATCCATAATATAGTTTGTTTTGGGGGGGTTAGATCGCGTAAATATAAATGTGTCGTTAAACCCCCCACCACCCGACACAGCCAATTAGTAAGGGTTATTACGTAAACAGAACAATTCGTTACTAGTACAGCACACTCGTGTGTTGGAGAGCAAATCCACAACATTTACAACCTATATTATGGAAATAAAGTGAAGTCAAAACAATGGGCAACAAAAGAAAATGCGGTTTAAAATGTAGACGATGTAAGGCATTGAGGAGATTCAGACACTGTCACAGTGAGGTGAACAATTAGAGAGCGCGTGGGGTCGTCACAGGCGGCCAGGGCTTCCTCTCGGCCCTGCTGCTGCTGCTGCTGCTACTGGGTTGTCAGCGGTGCACCAGCACAGCCAACAACGCCAACTCAGCACTCACTCGTCACGAACACCGTGACCTCAACAATAAGGACAACACAAATAAGAGTTGCGGTCTCGGGCAATAGGCCTTCTAAATAGCACATGGAGAGGCCAGAGGGATGGAGTTCATCAGGATTGGAGACTGCATTTAACACCATGGGGGCTCATCGAGTTAATACATTAATTTATGTATTCTGACAACAAGTTATTAAACCGACATATGAATAGCTACCGAATAGTAGCTGTTGGGTAATGGACAAACCCGAGAAGAGCTCAGTTGGCCGGTGCGGCTGTGGGCGCACGCGTGGTTTATGACACTGGGTTGCCCCGAACGGCGCTTTCCGCTCTGCGCTTGGTTTAAATTATGTCGCGTGAGAAATGTGGATTTTGCGTTTCATCGCTTTCCCGGTGTTCCCTAACGATGCTGATTGCCCAGGCCACGTCGCTTTCACGCTCGCGCGCCCGGGATTTGGGCCGTCCGTTACGCAGCTCGGCCAAAAGCCGCGAATTGAATTCCTCTCTCTTGTTTCTCTCGACGCTACTGTCCCCCGCTCTCAAATCTATCTAGGACAAGAACTCCACGCATTCGGGCAAGGGGCCTTCTTCACAGCCAAAGAAAAAGGAGGCACCTGGCCAGTTAATTGTTGGCAATTCTTTATGGCACTATAATTTACGAATGACTCGTGGGCTTTTGTTTGTGATTTGGGCTCGTGCGCGACTGGCAACGCAGTGTCACAAAACCCCGTTCGTT